CCCCAAAACCCCAAAACCCCAAAACCCCAAAACCCCAAGCAAGAATCAAATGCTTGAAGAAGAATAATTAAAAATAGAAATGGAAGATCACGAAATATGAAAACAAAGAGCTTGTTTTAAGCTCTTCCTGAGCTTCATTGCGGATCTGAGGCGGGAGGAACTTGATCTCAGAGAGATTTGCTCTTCGTTTTGATGTAAGGATCCAAAGAAAGCCCTTTATCATGTTTCTGGAGGATTCCTTTGGTAGCTTGGACTCGGAAGACAATCTCTTCAGTTATTCTCATAGCTTTTCACTCGATTAAGTCTCTACTCTTTGGGTGTCATTATCTCTGGGGTCTCTCTTGTTAAATATTCTTCTTTCAGCATTAGGAAGGAGTCTGAGAAGGCTTCAAGCTAATAAAAAGAATGATTTTGAAATCACTAAAGTACCCATCTTGGATATCCAAAATATCTAAGGTGAGCTAAACAAGAGTAATTTTTCAATATTACATGACCAAAAATGCTCGAAGAATTCTTCGAAGCTAAGCCTTACTCTCATATCCAGATGTCCTATCTTGATTTTTAGGCGACCCTAAACTCAGGTTACTCGCAGTGACTGAGGATCTGAGCTGATTCACGCTAATTTTCTCTGTGTCCTTTGTTACACTTGAAATCTGCTTCGTCAGATCCGTCCTCTTCTTCTGAAATACCGACTTTAAGTATTCAGTAGGTTTATTGAGCACGAATTGAGATATCAAATTCCAGTTATCCTGGCTATTTTTGCTTCACATCGTCCCAGGAAAGCTTCTTAGTGGAATATGGATGGTAGAAATAGTCCATCTTTTGTTTCAAAGTCATCTTTTTGGCAAGAAACTGGCTAAATTAAAGTTGATAAGGATTCTCAAATCATTATTTAAATAGAAATCTGGCTCAGAGAGTAAGAGAGGTTTCTTAGAGGAGGCAAAAGTGTCAGGCTGATAAATATGCCTGTTCTCTTTGTCTTACAATTCTTCTACATATTTTAAGAAAATTGGATTATCAATAAAAAGTATGACTCTAGGTAAATATTTCTAATAATTCTTTCAAATACAAGAATTTACTATTGTTCTTTAGACAAAGCCTCACCTTAATTTTGGAGACTGGGTATTTCTACGGCTTTTAGGGCTCAATTCCTTGCCTTTCTTCATAACTTGTGCTTTGGTAAAGGATCGGCGTTTGGATGCTGGTCTTTGTCTCTCTTCAGACATGTTTTGGAACATAATTCGGATAGTAAATAATAAATCAACGATTTTTCTAAAATTTGGGGTTTTGGGGTTTTGGGGTTTTGGGGTTTTGGGG